CTAATTAGCATCTTAAGTTTACACTCAAGGGTATATGGTTTTTATACTGAGCTATAGGTTGTTCTTGGGCACTAGTGCCACTACACCTGTATCCGTGGCAACAATGAGTTTTTGTTGGCCTTCACTGAGGAAGTTCCTGCCTTCTTTGCCAACGTGTGTATTTTCATATGCATTGCTTGTCTTTTTGAAAGCTAAATCATTATTTGACTCTCTTGCAACTTATTTACTATAAAGAATGGCCTAAATGTGTCACTAGAGCATCTAGAGCAGCCTAATTCATACCACAAAAGACTTTTAACCTTGTTTAACTTAGGAGCTCTTTATTTAAACATACCTATTAAAATCACATTGCTCTTTCCCCTCCCAGATCTGCACTCCTTCTCCCTTCCCCAGACTTGGGGTCCTGACCTGCCTTCCTGAAGCTCCCTAGCAGTCTGCTGTCTTAGCTCTCAGGTGTGCTCCAGTCACAGACATCCTTTCCCATCCCAGATATGCTTCAGGTATGCAAGCCTCCCCATAACCCCCAATCTTGGCAGAGTGAGTCACCTCTGATATCGCAGCACTCGATCCAGCGTGGAGTTCTGGAATCCTTCCTTTCCCCAGATTTGTGGTAGTAAGTCCTAGTCCCTGAAACTTCCTTACTACAGACCATCAGAGCTCTGTGAGCTGCAGATGGGACCTCCCAGACTAACCTATCTGCCAACCTATTCACCTAGCATCCCCCATTCCTGATTATCCAGGACTCTGTGGAGTAGGTCCTTGAAGCTCAACTCAAAATTTGCAGCTATCTCTAAATGCACTGAGACCTCTGCTTTCACCCCAATCGCACATCAACATAAAGTGATCCCAAAACTGAACAACAAGCACAACTTAGCTGGATCATAACCGACAAGTTGAGGAAAGAGCAAACGAAGGTTAAATAAACATCCAATAAAGACACAATCACTTACCCTTACCAAGAAATACCACCACACAAGTCCAGATGCCTAGGTCTTATAACCAAAAAGTTCTCAGGAAAATCTTGCATCTTAGACTGAACTTCCTGCGAGACTGGCCAACTGATTAGGATTTCAATGACTGCGGAGAGTTTGGAATATTGCAGATCCACAGTCTATTTACAATTTATCTTGGACCATGTTTAGCCCATTTCTGTTTCTGACTTAATATTCTTGTGACTAACAGAATGTATTACCTTAACAAAGAAAGTTTCCACCAATCAGAGTCATGAGATAGCATCTGAGACCTATAGTACAATTCCCCCAGCTTCACTATGACCTGCCTACTGAATGTCCCTACCAATGTATTTGAAGAGTGTGTTGATTTATGATCTTCGTTCTGTGACTGTAAGAAGTTCATGAAATGCTGCCTCGTTGGAACATGGTAATTGGGAAAACCTAAATCTGTGTTCACAGGCCATAGTCACTCATATTTGGCTCCAGAAAAAAAACTACCTCTTAATACCTTTTGAGGTGAGAATTAGGCTTTTTGCCTCAACTGTCCCATTGAAAAAAACCAAAAACAACATGAATAACCAAGATAATATGGCTACTACAGAAAGTAACATCCTTATTATAATGGTTCCTGAGAATGACAACTACATGCATCCACAAGACAATGATTTCAAAACAGCAATTGCAAATATGCTCAAGGGACTCAAAAGAGGATATGAATAAAAGACTGAATGAAGACCATGGAAACACAAATAATTGAATGAAATAATTTAAACAAAACAAAATAAAAAAGCCTAGAAGAAAGAAGCAAAAAGAAAGTGAAGGAAAGGGAACAGAGAAAATATTAGACCTTGAAGACAAGGTTGGGGAAATGGATCACTCAAACAAATAAAATGTCAAATCTAAAATATGCCAGGAACAGAATATGCAAGACATCTGGGACACAGTGAAAAGACCAAACATATAAATCATAAACATAAAAGAAGTAGAAACCCCAGTCGAAGGCACAGAAAATATTTCTAATAAAATCATAGAAAAAATCCTAAACATATATGCACTATATATGCAACTCACACAGGGGCACTCAATTTCATGAAAAGAAACCTTATTAATTCTAAAATCTCATATTGACTCCAACATAGTGATAGTGGGTGAGTTCAATACTGTCACCAATAGACAGGTCATCCAGACAAAAGCTAGAGAGAAACCCTGGAGTTAAACGGCACCATAAATCAAATGTACCTATCAGACATCTACAGAACATCCCACTCACACACCAAAGAATGCACTTCCTTCTCAACAGCCCATGGAATAATCTCCAAAATTGACCACATAAAGCAAGTCTCCATAAATTCAAGAAAATTGAAATATCATCTTGTATTCTATCTGACCACAAAGAATTAAAGCTAGGTATCAGTAACAATAAAAATAGGAAAATGCATAAATCATTAGAAGTTAACACACTGAATGAAAATTAGATCACAAGAGAAATCAATGAAGAAATTAAAATTTTCTTAGACCTGAATAAAAATGAAACCACAACAAATCAAAACATTTGGGACACAAGGAAGGCAGTCCTAAGAAGAAAAGTTACAGTATCAAGTACCTACGCCAGAAAATTAGAAACATCTCATATAAATTAAGATGCATCCAAAGACGTTGGAGTGCCAAGTACAAGTCAACCTAAGAAGAGAACAGGGAAGAGAAAATTTAGGTTAAGGCTGAAATTAATGGACTGGAAATAAAGAAAACAATATAAAGAATCAATGAAATGAAGATGCTTTGAAAAGATTAAAAAGAATGGCAAATCTTTAGCCAAATTAACCAAAAGAAAGAGAAAACCCAAATAAACGAACTCAGAGTTTTAAAGGGGTACATTACAACAGACACTGAGGAAATTCAGAAATCTGTAATAACATATCTTTAAAAATCTATATGCCACTAAAGTAAAAAATATAAAAGAAGTGAACACATTTCTCAATATAGCATAGAAATGGTAAATCAAAATGACATAAGTAATTTAAACAGACTCATAACAACCAATGAGATAGATGCAGTAATTAAAAATCTCTCCCAACTAAAAAGAACCCAGGACGAGATGGAAACAGAATTCTACAAAACCTTCAAAAAAGAATGAACACCAATACTCCTCAAACTATTCCATAAAATAGAAAAGGAAAAAACACTCCCAAATTTTCCCTATGAAGCCAGTATTACCCTAATACCAAAACCAGACAAAGACCCAACAAAAAAAGAAAATTATAGACCTATCTCTCTGAAAAACATAGATGCAAAACTTCTCAAGAAAAATTAATGATCCAAATCTTTGAAAGTATACAGTTAATTGTGAGAAACCTGGAATTTACTAATATGAAGTACAGTGGTATAGCATGGGCTAGTAGCAGGTGGAAGTAAGAGTTATAGTTACAAAATATATTTCAGTTGAATTTTTGGTCTTTTTGAGACAGGGTCTCCCCATAGCCTCAGGTGTCCTGGAACTCACTATGTAGACCAGGCTGGCCTTGAACTCATAGAGATCCACTCTGCCTCCCAAGTGCTACGATTAAATGCATGTACCACCATGCCCGGTGTCAGTTGAACTTTTCATTTGTTACAGTATGAAAGATGTTAATAATGATAATTGTCAATGAAAGACACCTTTCTTCCTTTGACAGAAGCAACACCTCGGATCAACTCCTTTGGAAATATCCTTTAAAATTCTTCAACACGTAAAGAAAATAGATGGCATGCCTACAGCTAGCACCATGCTCAACATGAGGCTGTGTGCTTTACAGTAAGAATGACATGCTCCACTCTCCACAACGGTCATCAAAATATCACTGGGTTCTAACCAGAACAGTTAGGCAATGGAAAGAAATTCAAGCATCCTGATAGGGAAGAAGAAAGTTTTCTACTTGCTAACAACAGTGACAAGTGATCTTACATATAGAAAACTCTAAGTTGTCTACAGAAAAACTGGTTAGAATCAATAAACAAATTCAGAAAAGTTGTGTGATACAAAAAAAGAAAGAAAGAAAACAAGAAAGTGGTTGATGGGTGAGTAGATAAAGAAAATGTGGTGATAGATACACAGGGGAATACTATGAGCCTTCAATAAAGAAAAGCACCCTGAGTTCTCTCATGATGAACTGGAGGCCACTATCCTAAGTGGAGTAAGACAAGCACAGAAAGATAAATCCTGCATGGTCTCACATGTGAAATCCAAAGAGTCCAAATTCATGGTTTAGTTGTAATGATAGCTGTCGGGTGCTTGAGGGGGCATTTCATATGCAGAAAGGAGAGATGTTAGTCAGTGTGACAGAGGTTAATTTAAACACTAGGATGAAGTTCTGGTTTACAAAGCATGGTGGCTGTAGTTAATAATGCATTGTGTTTTTCACAATTGTGAAGACAGGAGATTTTAAATGTACTCGCCAGAATGAAACAAGTATGTGAAGTAATAAATATGTTAATTAGCTTGAATTTCATCATTTCACAATATCTACACATACCATAAGCATTCCATGGTACTCCATAAATACTGATAATTATCATTTGCTAATTTATTTTAAAAAATCTTCCATGGAACCCAGACTCTTTGTAGTGCTTTAACACTTCTATTTCCTTCTTAAATTACTACATGTACTAGAGAACACTAACTCTTTCTAGCTGAGATTCTATTTTGCTAAATATTTTATATACAAAGCATAAGGAAATATATTCCCCTCAAGCATAATAAACAACTTCATTGTTGGCATTTAACATGAAAAATAGGAGGTGCTTTAGATACAGGAATGAATTTCTTATCAATAGACATTTCATTTAATAGAGACAAAGCACGCAATATATGCATGTACATCCAGCAAAGCAAAACACCGAAAAAGGATAGGAACAATTTGTCAATAAAACGAACTAATACAGAATATGCAAATTTCCCTTGTCTTTGGAACTGAGATTATAAAATTTGTTCATAGTCAACTAAGGTGTGATTAACATTTCAGTACAAAGGTTTCTCCGTGAGTTAGTCTGAATTTATAGGATCACACTTACCAGCATTTCGTTTGAAGCTGCGTTTTATGTAACAGGAGATGTTCAAGCACTTTATTCAACTGAGGACTATTATTCTGAACACAAGACCAGGCAGCAACACAGTGCCAGAGCAGGTGGTTGACATTGTATCTTCCCTGATTCAAATGCAAATGGTTGTGAAATTAAAATATGGAAGTATGTTCTTTGACTTGAACAAAAATGAATATAAATTTTAAATATGCAAATTAAAATACATATTCTCTTACACTTCATGTTTTACTGAGTGGAATAACAAGTATATTTTTGTTAAGTATATGTAGTTGATATGAGTCTAATGTTTATATTTTCACACAAGTCCTTGTGTTTAATGAATCAGTCTACAATAAGACAGAAAGTCTATGTCTTCTAAAGGATCCTGTCAGACACCTTGTGCTTCTCAGACCCCACGTGTCTTGGTTCTCCAGGACACTTGAGCAAGATGAGAACAAAGATAAAGCATCAAAGTGGGTTCTGAAATGTGAATTTCTACTTTTAACAACTAAGGCATATGCCTTATAGAGCATGGTGGTGCCTTTTAAGCAGGTGTTTTTTGAAAACCACACATTTAGACTTATTGTCTATTAGACTTTCATGCCTGTTTGTTTTTTCTGTGTTCTCTGGCAGCTTCATTAGATAATTGGTTGCTGAAGTGGTTGGCATACCTGACAACACAGCACTCTCATCGAATTTTATTTTACCAGTATCCAAATGCACAACCTCTACATGTACTGATTATGAACTTAGTTCATATTTTGTGCTGTTAAAAAAAAAAAAAAAACCCTCTTGCCAGGAGTGGTAGCACACACCTTTAATCCAGCACTCAGGAGGTAGAGACAGGCGGATTTCTGTGAGTTCAAGGCCAGCCTGATCTACATAGTGAGTTCCAGGACAGCTGGGACTACAGGGAGACCCTGTCTCAAAAAGACCAAAAAAAAAAAAGAAAAAGAAAAGAAACACTCTTAAGCTGGAGAGATGGCTCAGTGGTTAAGAGGTTAAGAGCATTGATTGCTCTTGCAGAGGACCCGGGTTCAATTCCCAACACGCACATGACAGCTAACAACTGGCTCTAACTCCAGTTCCAGGAAATCGACGACCTCTTCTCTCCTCCCTGGGAACTGCACAACATGGCTGCATGTCTACCTGCAAGCAATACACTCTCAGAGATAAAACAAAAATACTAAATAAAATATTGAAAAAAAAAAAAAAACATTCTTAGGTGCACTGGCTGCTCTTGAAGGGGACTTGGGTTTGGGTTCCAACACGCACATGGCAGTTAACTGCCTGTAACTCCAGTTCCAGGAAATCCAATGCCCTCTTCTGGCCTCCACAGGTGTTACATGCACATGGTGCATCTACATCCATGCAGGGAAACACCCATTAGAAGAAAGCAAGAAAGGGATGGAGGAAGGAAAGGAGGGAGGGAAAGAAGGAAAAGAAAAACTTTGAACCTAAATCACTTCTTATGTAAAATATCATAACTTAATTTAAAGATAATTTTCATGTTGAGTACTCTTAGAAAGCTAAAAGATCATATGCAATTTCAAACTAAGGCCTTTCAAATTTCTTGTCAACTGCTCAGTTAGGTCTTACAGATGTATACTGTTTCTCTTCCTGTTGGAGATGGTCAGATTCTGACATACAGGCACGAATCAGACAAAGTCTGTAGGGAGCTTGCTGGCCCTCAAGCAATAATTCAGAAAAGACAATGGAAACAATCCATGCTTGGGGTGTGACTATATTCCACAGAAAAGCTTTCTTCTGAAATAATGCAAGACTGAGACATGCTGACTTCAGTAAATGCACATATAACTCAATTTTCTCCTTACTGGTGGCGCCCATTCAGGAAGTAGAAGCCACATAAACAAAATTCTCCTCTCAAATAGACTTGGATGTCTCAGCCTGTGTGTCTGGCAATCTTTAGGCTGCAAACTTATTCCACGTAAATAAGAATTTAGATATGTTTTGAAACTTTGGGATGACTTGACCAATTAATTTAAAACAATACTTTTCTTTCTAAATCACATGGGTACATAAACTATTCAGTTAGGTCAAAACTATGTGTGCTAACACACTTAGAAGCATTTGATAAGGAAAGCAGCAGGAGGCAGGCTGTGTGACACAGGCCCATAATTCCAGTGTGAGGGAGGCCGAGGCATGAGGAGTCCAAGTATGAGGGCAGCCTGGGCACCTTAGCGAGACAAAAATTATGACCAAGACTTACATTTTATTTTTAGTTTTATACGTCATTTTTATTCATCGTGAAGAAAGATAAAATATGGCCTCCGATGTCTGGGACTGCTTTGACATTGCATTTGCAGGCTGGTCTGACACAGCCAGGTCACTTTGATTTGTTGGACATAAAAACAAAATATAAACCTCAGATATTACTCTGAAACCATGATAAAGAAAACCATTTAACAAATTTTATTCCAAAGCACAAACACAATGTCACTGTGCCACCTACAAAATAGCCTGTCTTAGAATTACCCTTTCTTTCCATTGCGACCAAACCTAGAAAGAACACCTTTTTCCTCCGACTCCCTGATCTCTCCAAGTCCCAATCCTGTAAAAACGCATTCTGTGCTCCTGATAAGACGTTCCTCAGCTCATAGCTCCTCCTGGAGTGCCCCCTTCTCTCTGTTTTTCTGCCCTCACTCCTCCTTCTCTCCAACAAGAAATGAGCCCCATTTGTCTGACAGAGATGTGTTCCTCTTGACCTCTGACAACAAGCCTGTGCATTATAAAAAGCAAATTTATCAAAGTTGGATGAATTAACATAATAATGGTAATCATGTGATTTAATCCAACTGTCACAGACCAGGAAAGGGCAGTGCTCTGGGAGTTGTTATGTGGCACGAAGTTCATGGCCTTTACATTAAGTCACTCTAATATAACTAAGAGATAAACACTATTTACAAACTGTCAGCAAGAACACAGAAATTAAGAGTACATGTTTAAAAACATTGTAACAACTTGACAAAATAATTATATAGATGTTCAATCTAATAAAAAAAGACATGCTTTATTTTTGTTTTTCTATAACTCATTACATTTTTTTAAATTTGCCAATCTGTGATGGTTTAGAAATTGAAAAAAAAAGTGTGGGGGCTGGGAAGATGGTTCACTCAGTGAAGTGTCTGTTACACAGGAATGAGGGTCTGCATTTGAATCTACCCGGCTCCCAACAAAGATGGGCACAGTAGTCTATGTGTAGGCCTATAATCCCAGTAATGGAGGGGCAGGCTAGAAACAGGAAGATCCTTACAGCTTACTAACCCAGCCAGGCTTCCTAATCAATAAGCTCTAGATTCAGTGAGAAACTTTGTCTCAAAACCTAAAGTGGGAAGTTTCTCTGACTTCCACACACATGCACATGCATACACATATGCATGCACACAGGCACACATGTGAACATGTACACATGTACATACAACAAAAAGCAGAAAAGGGAAAAAGTGGAAATGACTCTTTACCGGAGATCGTTTGAAAAGCACGAAGCACAGAACGTGGTGACTTCAAAGTACATTTTTTTCCACCCTTGCCTCCCTTCCTGCTTTCCTTCTTTCCTTCCTTCTTTTTGTTAACCTTTTACGACCTCCTGTGCTTCTTTCTACTTTCTGCCCAGCTCCAAACTGTCACTTGCAGCTTGTTCAACATAACTACACCAGCCTGGCATTTATTAGAGTCTTCGTATAAAAACTTTGAGTGACTGATCAGGCTCTTGCAAAAGGAGCTTTGATGTGTGAGCTATTTTGGCTGCTCCACAAGTAGGTTTAGAGTTCAATCCTGTTTTCAGTCATTTGAAGCGTGGTTGACATTGTCATGAAAGGACCTCTCAACACAAATGTGTCACTCAGGTCACAACATGAGTCACATGGGAAGGCTTCTAATTTTAAAGAACCTGTGTCTCATCACAATACAACTCTTAATGTCTATTTACACTTACACTATAGCATAAAACTGTCCAGGATTTAGACCATGCCTTTTGCTTCCTGAGATAAAGTGCTTACTGAGGATGAGGTTGTTAATCACATTATAATGTAAGATTGGTGGATCTGCTACATCTTGAGAAACTCTTTGTACTTTAGTTGGAACTGTTTAATAAAGGCTCTACTCCATTTTAGCTGAGATGAAAGCATGGTTTCTCCAAGGAAGTATCTTCTTATTATGATATGACAACAGTGCTTAGAAAATTCAGCACTGCTAGTGAGCAAAGGACAGACTGGAAAATTCAATCCAGTGATTGGGTCCTGCAATCCGCAGAGCTAATTAAAGTGCACTATTTGTCAAACCCTGTGTCTGGATCACTTAAAAGGAGAAGCAGGCTCTAGCAGCAGTGGAAAAGAATTTTCCTATTTGTAAGTAGAGCTGATATTTATATTGCATACATTATAATATGTAAATTTTCTAGAATTTTCAAAGCAGGGATTGCAAAACAAATTCAGTAGCTATGCTTTGACTCCATTTTATGTAAGTGTTAAAAATTGAATGTGTTACAATGGTCAACATATGCTGTGGGTAGACCATTTAGTATTATCTGAGTATAAAGGCTATAGGGCTAAATCAATAGATCCTAGGCTGTAATACACTAACAATAAGGAAAGTAGGAAGGAGGGATAGAGTGCAGCTCTGATATTATGTTATCTCTGTTTTTCCTTTATTTCCCCAGAAGGGAGAATGAGATGGGTATTGAATGGGCAGATGCTCAACTGAGCTGGAGAGGCTGGCTCAGATGAAACCACACTGGAGAAATTGGGTGGAAACCAGGCAACTTTAGGGCTTGCAATCAAGCAATGAATCAGTGCTGATTAGCCGAATCAGTAATTTAGGAGCAATGTGATCACCCTATCTGTTATAGTCTTTGTATTATGAGGTAATTGGAGGAGAAAAAGAAAGCAATAAACCTGACAGCCCAACTCTGTTATAATTCCCTCAGAGAATCATATGGATAGAGCTGCAATGGGATTTAGGAGTGATTGAATTTAAATCCTTTGTTCTATGAAGGGGAAAAAAATACAGAAAGGCTCAGTAACTGCACGCCACTCTCAGCAGACACATGCCCTCCATGAGCGGCAGCTCTGCCCCTTCCACCTTGGCCTGAGCTGTGCAGCAGCACACTGGCACTCACTCACACCAAGAAAGATGAAGATGGATTTGTCCTTCAAGAGCTCCAGCATCAACACTGAGAGTGGCCCACGCCACAGCAGAATATGCAGCTAAGACCGCATGGTTCCATGTGTGTTTAGAGATAACACTCAGATCATTGCATTAGCTTAATACAGCCATACTCTCCAGTGAGAATTGTTATAAACTGTCTTTGTTAAAGTGAATACCTAAGTTTTTTTCAATTATCATTACTTATGTTTTCATGGAACTTCATTTACAGATTACATGTTTACTTATTCATTTACAATCTTCACAACAAAGCAGTGAATGAATAGTTAGAGCCAATCTGATGGTGATGATGATGGTGATGGTGATGATGACGATGATGATGATAATGATAAAAGTGGGTAGAACTTTATAAAGGATGAGGGAATGGAGGTCAAGGAAACTAACCAGGCCTCCTCTGGACCACACAGACAGTTGGCAAGCAGGTTGCAACTCTTCATGATCAATGTTCTTTCTGTTGCTTAATATCTTACTGTAGGTTGTCATCAAAACATTTGTTTAACTTTAAAACATATTCCTCTTTTTGCATGGCATAATTTGTGATCATTAGTAATTATAACCTAAAGATTCAAATTACTGAGCATGTCACTCTACGGTTTATCACTAACGAGCCAAGAGGAAAAAACTTAGGCTTTAAAAAGTTTTTAACAATCCATGACAAAATACATTTTCTCATCTATTAAATTTATAGCTAATGCTAGAAAGCCCCTAAGGGAAGGGGGAAACACTATGAGGTCATATTTAACTAAAGGTTTAAAAAAAAAAGAATTCTCTGGTTTGAGCTTGTATAAGACCTGTGCCACACTAAGGGACATTTGGGGATACAAATCAGACTCCATAGGCCATATATATATATATATGTATATATGTGTTTATATGTGTATGTATATATGTATGTATATACATGTATATATGTGTATATACATGTATACATACATATGAGTATATATGTATATATACTCTTTTATGTATATGAAAGAGTACATTAAATTGGGCAGGGGGCAGTAGTGGAAATGTGGATAGGAGAGGGGATTTAAATACCACCAAACTATATTGTTTAAAAATTGCAAAAATTCAATAAAAATATAATAAGAAAAGAAGGAAGGAAGGAAGGAAGGGAGGGAGGGAGGGAGGGAGAGAGAGAGAGAGAAAAAAAAGAAAGAAAGAAAGAAAGAAAGAAAGAAAGAAAGAAAGAAAGAAAGAAAGAGGGATTCTCCCAAATTTTTTTGTTGTTTCGGATTACATTAGGTTACAAGTATTTTCCAGGCTGATGAGATGGCTCAGTGGATAAAACACATGTTGTACAAGCATGAGGACTGGATTTCAATCCTCAGACCCACATAAAAGCTAAGCTGGCTTGTAGCCTACCTGTAATCCTGCCTCTCTGGAGTGGGAGACAGGCCATGGCAGGGCAAGCCAGCTAAAGAGATTAGCCAAATGGAGTGGGCTAGCTCCAGGTTCTGGAAAAGACTCTGCCTCCATAAACAAAGTGGAAAGTGACAGAGAAAGATACTCGAGGCCAATATCTGGTCATAAACACATTCAAAAGGATTTTTCCTTTTTTTCAGAAATTGAAAAGAATAATTTTCTATTTATAAATTATGAAAAAAATCAAGGTTTCATAGTGGTCACAACTATTTTTTTAGAAAACATTTGAGGAAAGGAAATGGAGATTATTAGTTCAGAGGCTGAAGTCGATGTCCTTTGAAGAACATCCGACTGTAAGTTATACACGATTACATGATTCTTTGTACTTATGTTTGCATAACTACAGCTTCTTGCATAAGTTGATTTCTAACAATATAGGTAGGAAATTTTTTAACCTCATATACTGGAATTACTTTAATCTCTCAATTTGAACTTTTTAAAGTTTTAATATTTTTTTATTTTATGTGTATGAGTGTCTTGCCTGGATGTATGTAAGTGCACCCATGTTGTGCAACCCAGAAGTCAGAGGTCGGTGTCGAATTCCCCTGGAAATGGAGTTACAAATGGTTGTTAGCGGTCATGTTGGTGCTGGGGATCAAACCCGGGTCCTCTGCAAGAGCAGCCAGTTCACTTAATCCCTGAGCCATTTGTCCACCCCCTCTAAAAAGTTTTTAAAACATGTGTGTTTGTGCATGCTTAAATTTTATGTGCATGAGTAGTTTTTTTTATTATTTTAATTTTACGTGTATGAGTGTATTGCCTGCATGTAAGTGAGTGCACCCGTGTCGTGCAATGCCGCGGAGGTCAGAAGAGGGCTTTGGATTCCCCTGGAACTGGAGTTAAGGACAGTTCGTAGCCGCCACTCATGCACAGGTGCTGGGAACCGAACCTGGGTCCTCTGCAAGAGCAGTCAGTGTTTTTAACTGCTGAGCCATGTCTCCAGCACCTGTGCATGAGTGTTTTGCCTGCAAGTATGTAAGTGCACCCATGTTGTGTAATGCCCGTGGAGATCAGTCACTAACGACTGTCAGTCATCATGTGGGTGCTGGGAACCCGACAGGGGTCCTCTGCAAGAGCAGCCAGTAGTCTTAACCACTGAATCATCTCTCCAACCCCCCACTTTTTTTTAACTTTTCAGTTGCCTCCAACAGCATATTAAATGTGTTACATATGACTCAAGGAAACATAAATGTTATGTTATGTTGCAATTTTTACTTAAATAGCTGAGATACAACCTATATAGAAGTATTACGCCATCCTTCCCCTTAAAGTAACAGTGGTGTGTGCATGGTGATGTCCCATTCCTGATGCAGCGATCTACTCTCAGGATGTGTGTATAGGTCTGTATGAGGCTAAAGTGTGCGCTATTCATCCCTCCACGTCCCACCTCCCCAGCTAAACTAATCGTCAACAACGTTGCTGAACTGAAGAGAAAGTATTTAATCCCAGCGATCGTACACATATGCAACAGGATATACCCACCATATCTAATTACCTACCACATCAGAATCTATGTTCCCCAGTTCCTCCATATTTTCCACGGGACTGAAATCTGATTCAGAATGGAGTTCTCTTTTAAATATAATTTCCGATGTTTTCAAGATGAACTGCACATTTGAAAGGATGTTTGGATACTTGTCATATGATTTTCCGGAGAAATAAAGTGCTATTGTAAGAAAAAGTATTTGTGAGAAAAACTTTATTACTATCTTGCATTGTGCTTCATTTGTCTTTTCGTTACTAAAATATAATTAAATTCGGTACTTCAGTGCTCTATTGAGCATTTGTCCACCTAAGATTTAATGTTACGTCTGCCCTCTGGTGGTGATGAAGAAAACTACAATTTAAATAATTGGCAAATTTGAATTTATATAATTTAGAACAGGTTTGCATAATGATTGAATACCCAGCAAAGTATTGTTATTATTCAACAATGCTGGGCAGTTTTAAACTGTACATATTTCAAGCAATAATAATATATGCTCTACTTAACAGATACTTTGACATTGTAATCCTACAAATAATTCAGTTTCATTATCGCCAACCCGTGATTTTAAAGTTCATACAATATAGGCTAAAATTTTATAATGTAACATAAAATTATGATATTTTATCATATGATATGAGCCATCTTCTTTCTGTTCTTTATGTAAACTTCTATGCCATTTCTGAGTCCAATGGGAAAAACTAGTGATAGGCATTCTTCTAGAGGACAGCTACAGGAAAAGGTAGCTGAAGGCAGGTGCTGCCTAAGGCTGTACCTAACAGTAGCTGCTAAAGAGGCAAATAGTAAGTGCCCATCCTTTTATGAAATAGCAAAGATGTTAATTTTCTTGAGATGTGTCCACAAAAAGAAACTACTATGAAAACTTGAGATTTTATTCAACTAATTTTTCAAGAATTTTGTGGCTACCATCATCTGAATATTTAATCAGTGCCATATTCAACATGTGAAGAGTTAAAAACATTATTTAAAATTGCTGAAAAAGAGACTGGGTAGAAATACTTGCTATGTAAGCATGAGGACGTGAATTTGAATCCCCAGCCCTCACATAAAAAAAGCCAGGCATGGTTGCACATGCCTATAATTCCAGCACTGGGAAATGGAGACATACATCTAGAGAGCTCATTGCCAACACGCCTGGCCAAAAAGGTGAGTTCACAGTTCAGTGAGGGACCCTGCCAAAAAGAAGCTGCCCAAACATCCTGCTCTGGCCTGCACATGCAATGCACGGGCACGTGAACTGGCACTCATGTGCACACACCATACATACATGCACAACACACAATGCACACACACGTTACTAAATAAATCAAAACAAGTGCCATGGTAGACAATTCTTATTCTAACTGTCCTTAGCTTTGTGCAGAACCAGGACATGTAGTAAGGAACCTAGTCGGTTTCTCAACACACTTTTACTATTACTTTCTGTTCTCTTCTCCAAGAAATTCCTCCTCTCATATCAGCCTCTCCTCTCACTTACAGAATCTCATTCATTATATAACGTACTTATTTTATTTTCTTTTGACCTGAATTTTTTCATCCACACTCACTTTTTTCCCACATTTGTGCATTTTATTTGGGTTACATGATGGCAGGCTTCCGTGTGGGTTCTTTATACTCTCTTTACCCCAGTTAACGTCAGCATCCCTCCTATTTACCTCCCTTTTACCAAGGCTCTACTAGCCCCCCTCCCTGAATGAACTCCACTCCATGGCCCTTCCTAGTTTCCTAGCTTTCACAGGTGCTCCATGTAAAACAGACAGAACTAAAGAGTGGAAACCAGGATCTAAAGATGAGAGAGAATGTACAGAGTTTATCTTTCTGGGTCTAGCTTACCTTACACAGTATAATGTTTTACTAATTCCATCCATTTCCCTGAAATTTTCATAATTTTATTTTTCTTTACAGCTCAATAAAATTCCAATTCTGTATATGTACTCCACATTCATTATCCAGTCACCAGTCAATGGACATCTAGAATTCCTTTTCTTACTTACTGTAAATAGTGTCACATTGAACATGGATTTTCAGGTATCCCTGTTGTAAAGGACCCCGGAGTGGCATACCTGGGATCACACAGACATTTTTCTTTCTAGTTTTTTGAGAAACCTCCAGAGTGATTTCCAAAAAGTGACTAAACTTGTTTACACACCCACATCCAAGCCACCATTTGTCATCACTGATGATACCCATTGATGATACCCATTCTAACTGGGGTGAGATGGAATCTTAAACTAGTTTAATCTGCATTCCCCTATAGTTAATAATGTTGAACACTTTTAAGTGATTCTTAGTCAGTTGCATTTCCTTTTTTAGGGAAATTCTCTTTTAATTAGGTTGTTTTCTTATTGTTTAGTTTTTAGTTCTTTGTATATCCTCCTATTGACATATTTTAAATCAACATTTATAATTTAACTTTGAAATAGTTCACAGTCTTTGTTTTACGCTTAAAAAGTATGTTCTTGTTTACCTCCATCACAAAATGGAGAGATGCCCAAGATGGTCTGATCACAGAAACTCAGTTACACTATCTCCCAGTGCTTCAACATGTTGATGCCTCTGAACTTTCCTCTTTGGATGCCACTGATTTCCTTCCCACTCTCCTAAGGTTTGTTTTACTAAGCTCTGTAAATCCAACAATCCACAAAATGCTATGGCTCCCCAAGACTTGGTTTGGAAAATCAGTTTCTCCTCTTCCCAGAACACTGTCTGGTTATCTTAGTTTCCTTAACAGTCTATGTTCTAACGTTCACTTTTCTGTAACCATCAAATTATGTCTAACATTTTCCCAAATATTGACCCTATTAGTCATTATCTAAAACTTTAACTTCCTCCAGATTTCTCTATTTCCTGTACATGTCTCCTAGATCCAATTGACTAAATTCAGTCTCTCTCCTAAATATTTCTAAATATTTTACCACAATCTATTCCCTTTATAATCAATCACATTTTTAATATTCCTTCCTCCACAATTCCTTCTTTCCAGTATAAAAGTGAGTGCATATTATGTGTGTTGAACTGTAATTCAAATATTTCTTCCTCTGAGTGTCAATCAAAACAGTTTGAAAAACATTGCTTTATAATGCTGAGATCTTCTGCTGTGCACTCACACACTGAGCTGGCTTCCTGCATCCTCTCCTTATTCCAGTCCAGCATCTACATTGCCAACAGACTAACCTTATTAAAATATGAATTTAACATTTTGTAGTTTGGTAGCTATTATTACAGATGAGAAAACTGAGTCACAGTCACCACCATACACTTACGGAGAAAATGAAAAGCTGATCACAGAAGGCTGGAGGTGGACGGGGAAGGGATGGGGAAGGGGAAATGTTAGCGAAAGAGCACCACTAGTGATCTGGGCTCAGGTGCTTCCTCAAAGTGTTTGGTTCATTCAGATCACTAAGAGACTGGAATTAAATGCTCGCAAGAAATGGAAAGCATGAAGGAAAACAAATGCTGAACAAACGCAGCCTGACCCAGTAGCTAACACGACAGCTATTACATTTCATGAAACATAAAAACATCTTATGCTCTTTACAGTAACAGTCTGAGCGCCTTAAAACCTAGCATAAAACATTTATAAGCATGGAAAATAAAAGATATCCTACCGTATAAATATGGTTGCAGCCTAAGTAAATGTTGTTTAAAACTTTCTAAGTGACCATGCAGGAAAAATATAAAAAGCCGTAAGAAGATCAAATAGCCAATCTGTCAAGAGAGAAAAAAGAAAAACATTTTTGTATTGCATCAATAAATGCTTAAAAACCATAGAGAAAGATAAACCATTTTATTATTACATTTACTCTTGATAAAACAATTTCAAACTCAGTTGATATTATGTGTTTTTGAAATAACACATTTATGTCAAGATTGAAATGCTAATTCACCCACCAAAAATCTTTTATAAATCACCTCTAGCTTGCCTCAAATAGCTGATACTGAATATTACCTCATTCTAGAGAAATTTTTTTTTCAAATTGCAGCTCATGGCCCTTAAGTTAAGACTCATGAAATCAATTGAGAGGGGGCTTTTAAAATAAAATATAAGAGAAGAGAAAATATCATATTGTATTTCACAGTTTCCTTTTTTTAATATCTAAGTGAGTGTATATTATGTTAGATCACAATGTGATATATATATATATATATATCTTCATCTTCTTATGGTTCATAACCAAGGCAATTTTAAGAACAAATTTTAAGAGGTCTGAGAAATTCTGTTTCTCATAGTACTGAAGTAGCTTCCTTATTTTAAAAAAGTCAACGTCATTAAAAACAAGCACTGTAAAATCTTTCTTCTGTGACTTAAAAATACATCCACAGCTAAATTTGTTTCACAAGCATACAGAAAATGAAATATCTGAAAAATACATGACTTCACATAAATTAGGAAAAACATAAATAATAAAAATAAATGGAATACATACTGTATAAGTTTCAGAATCAAAGAAATGAATAAAGTAATAACAATAGGAGCCACTCTCACCTATGCATACACCTGCAAGAGCTCAAACATTCTTAAGAGTAATACAAAATACTATATGAGATATACATATATATCAAAATACATAAGCAAGAACAGTTTCAATGCTCAAGTCAACCATAGTAAGAAAATAAGGAAAACAAATGGCATTAGAGGATTTTTAATCTGGGACTGTATTTTTTCAAATCCATGCACTTTCTATTATAACCCTGGAATTCAACTACTTTTTAAATTTTCACCAAAAACTTCTATCATTAAAATAAATTTGAGGTCACAACTCTCTCATTAGTTAGTTAGAGCCTCTTCAGACTGTCCCCAACCCCACCATGGGGCTAATCCCCCTCCTGCTCATGCCCTCCTGAGAACTCAGATTCCTCCCACTGGGTCTTGATACCCCTGCTCCAGGACCAGGTACATTCTCCCTGCTCCAGAGCTCACATCTTCTCTGCTTAGTTAGTTAAACCCCACACACACCAGCAACATTGCTACCTTGAGCCTAGGCCCCGTCCTGTTCTTCCTGCCTGAGAGTTCCAGACTAGCCTGTCAGAACCAGGCCACTGGATCTCCATAGTCTTGAATTGGGCCTAGGCCCCTTCACCCTGCTGGAGACCTTTGGAATCATCTCATCCTGCCATTAAAAAAATCAAAAGTGAGAATCTGAGGCAAAAACCAACCAACTATGCATACCTGATCAGAAAGCAAAAAGGTACATTGTGGGAGACAGGCTTGAGCCTAGGGTGATATTGCAACTGTCAGGGTCACATGGTTTCCAGGAATCCAGGCTCTGTAATCTGAAACCCAGTATGCTAATGAGGCATCCTACCCTCTATTCTGTGATAGGATGTTAAGTCTGTTATGCTAATAGAATGATGCTAATAAGGTATCCTACTTGCTGTACTGTGATAGGATGCTAAACCTGATATGCTAATAAGGTGTCCTACTTGCTGTGGTGTGATTGGACCACTACCCCGATATAAGCTTGTGCCTTCCTGCAATAAAGCAGACCTGTGTTACTGAACCTGGTCTCCTGTGTCTGAATGTGGCTCCGCTGACACAGTCTCCTCACCAGGCCTAGGGTCCGGGACTGGGCAGAAGTGGCGCGGCGATGACAGGAGGCAGCACAGGCCAAGCAGAAGAGCTGCCTCAGCACCAGGTGAGCAGAGGAGCAGCCTTGAAGCCCATGAGAATGAAGGAGCGGCACCTACAAGAACAGAGGAGCGGCTGCCTCTGGCACTGATCACAGTACATCAATAACATAAACAGAACCAAAGTTCAACTAAACAAAGGCAGGCTAGTATTGCCTATCATACACACAGCCAACAAAAGAAATCTGTGTGTCCAGGCCATAATGCAAAAATCACAAATAATATGAGAAACCAAGATAATATTTCCACACTAAACCCATCAGTCCTACAGAAGTGTATTACAATGAGAACTTCCCAGAGGAACCCAGGGAAACAGAATTTAAAAGAACAATCTTAAAAATGATGATCAAATAATTCAAAGACTTTAAAGTACATGCAAACAACTCGAACTAAAAGAAGATAGGAATAAACACCTGACTGAGGCTCAAGAAAATATGAGCATATGGCTAAATGAAATAACAAAGACAATTCAGCACTTAAAAGGTGAATTCACAAAAGACATTGAAGACAATTCAAGACAAAATGAAGCTGAAACTGAAAAATTCAAAAAGTCAGTGTAAACGACAGGAGAACTTACCAGCAGAATGAATGAAATGGAAAGGAGAATATATTCAGACTGGATGACAAAGCTGAAGATCTTGACAACTCAGACAAAGAATATGATTTTTTAAACCAAAGGGTAAAATATGCAGAAAATGTGGGACACCACGAAAAGACCAAATCATCATAGGCAAAAGGAAGGAAAAGAATCCCTGGCCAATGGCACTGACTAGATCTTCAATAGGATTATAGATGAAAACTTCCCTAAATTAAGAAAAGATATATCTATATAGATACAAAAAGCACACACACCAAATAGACAGGGTCAGAACAGAAACTCCCCACAGCATATCATAGTAAATGTACAGAACAAAAAGGGGATACTGAAAGCTGCAAGAGTAAAACAAGTTACACTTAAAGGAAAGCCCATCAGAATTACAGCTGACTTTTCAATGAAAATATGAAAACCAGAGGAGCCTGAAGCAAAATATTCCCAGTTCTAAATGATCATAAAGAAGTCATGTCCACCAAACCAGCTATACAGAGATAACTGAAGCATCACAAAGGACTGAAGAAATAAATTACCATACCCAAAAATGCTACAGAAAGAAAATAAATGAATTTTTACAAAGAAAAACATAAAATAACACTAAGAATATATGGGGCATGCGTTCTCTCTGGTCACACTCCCAGAATGGCACGGTGGATCCGTAGGCTCCCCCGCCGTTGTGCGCATGCTCTCTGGTCACAGGTGTCTCTGGCCACGGCGGCGGGTGCCCTGCAGGCTTTTCCCAGCAGCTCGTTCTTGTGTCTCTGGAAGCTTCTCTGCTGCAGGAGCGTTGTCCTGCCAAAATCCTGTCCCTATTCCACCCGTGTACTTTTCCTCTGGATGCGAGGTCCACTGGCCACTGAACCCCACAGAAAAAGTACGGGGACAGCGAAAGCTAGGATGTCCGCAAGTCGGTCACGAGGGAGTGCTGCTCCCCGGGGAGACTAGATTGCAGGCAGGAGACACAGGCTCAGTCTACAGCTTTTTACTCCAAGTCTCAGTGACCCAGTGATCCTACTCTAGTTCCAGCTCCGCTTCTAGCCCCCAATATTGAGAGAAGAATAGGATATTTATACCATGGGGATAGTGGTAAAAGCTTTGGCTGTTAGATGCTTTGTGAGGCATTCTATTTACATATGGAAGTGGGTTTCTGCCAGACTGCTGTCTGCCTGAAAAATCACACAGGAAGGCATGGTATTCCTAAAGCCTGAGGCCATGTTTATGTTATGGCATTTGTGGCGGACACTTCAAAAGGA